TGGAAAGCCAGCCTATCAGAGCCTATCAGAAATCAAGGGAGAGGTGATCAGTGGTACAGGGATGAAGAAAGCTATAAGAAATGGTCCAGAACCCCTAGAAATAAGACCCTTGTCTTCGCCAGAATATTTCCTGTCATCGGTGCTGCCCTCTTCAACGTCACTCTCTTTGCTAGAACGGCCAGAGTCAGACGGCGAGGGGGTGGGCGTGCCGCGGCGCGAGCGCCTGCTAGCCGCTGAGACATAGTCTTCGCTGAGAAAGGCGCACCGTCCCTCACTGTTTCCGCGTGCCTTTCGACTTGGTATATTTTCTGTCTTCGATTTCCGATCTTAACTGAAATGTTCCTTTGAAACCGACCCCGAAAGCTTATATAATTAATATTTCAGTCGTAACAAGAAATAAATGTCTCGTTTCTTCCTTATTAAATGTTCTTTAACCCTTCTGAACAAAATTCTTGATCAGCCGATTTTCAGGTTGGTCCCATGGCGAATCGCCTCCTATTACATCCAGCAATTCGTGTCATCTACGCAACCCAAGCCTCGTTCTACATCCATTCCGTCTATGCTACTTTATATCTGGATCCTTGGCGAAAAGATTCTTGGCTGATGTTCATCCATCACTTCATAGCGCTGTCGATGCTGTTACTTAGCTATGTGGACAAGTTCGTCTTTTCGATTTTATTCCAGCGAACTGAATACAAAATCAATATGTACCTAATATACCTAGAAGAGCTATCAAATGGTTACCTTAAGTTGTGGCGGTAAAGCGGCAGCAACGCACTGCGTCAAACAAATGTTTTTTTTTTAATTATGAACGGGACCAAAAGGTTAGGGTCGAGGGGGAGACCGTAGGATGCGTGAATAAGTTCGATTCTCGCAGGAGCTAGATACCACTCGTGTCTCCTTAGGGGATGCCTACCCCCGTTTCCTGCGATAGCACTCACTCGAGAACTGACGACTTAAACTTGAATCTCACGATACCTGAGTTGGCAAGGAAAGCGCCATGTGAGCAAACAGGTTTCTACAGTCAAATGGGTTCTACAGTCAATTTGCATTGTAATCCCGCATAAAAAAGATCAGTAGATTGATGGCCTTAGACACGAATTACAGTTGAAGTCTAAATCGTTTATGAAAAGCAAAAATTTAAAAAAAATGTCGAAAATCAGTGTTATTCCTTTGCCGCTAAGATAACGTTTTATTTTTTTTTTAGCAGCTCCAATGGCTGGAAGACTTCTAGTTAAATCGTGTTAATTTTTAGTTGTTAGGTAATATAATTATTTGGTAAACATGACTAACTCATCATGCTTCGAAAGGGAAAGAGCGTCAGCAACACCCTCATGCTTGCCAGCGCCAGTGCGGTTTGAAACAGTTAGGAGGACCGGATAGTTTATCTCTCAGTGTCAAGAGAGCGCTTGTTTATTGCTTTAAGGCCGATGTCAGACTTTGCGAATCGCGCGATTCGCTACTAGCGATTCGCTAGCGTCCGCGGTCGCGTTGCGGTACCAGCCAATTGAGTGATTCACTGGCCGCGACGCGACCGCAGACGCTAGCGAATCGCGCGATTCGCAAAGTCTGACATCGGCCTAAATAAGTTCGCACACATCAGGATTCACTGATGATCCGAATAGGTCTTTATCAAAGATACGCTGGAGAAGATGCTGCCGTCTCCCCTGGGCGAAAATCCACTTCAAGAATGCCACATCACCCGAATTGTAATTATCAGACAATGTCACATTTTTGTTAATTTTTAGTTTTACTCTCTGTGGAGCACTATTGCTATTTCTGCAAGACAGTTCGGATGCGATGCTGGAAATGGCAAAAATGAATGCTAACCTGACGAGACGGAGAAAGGATGGTGTTTACTATAAGTCCATTGACTTTGCCGGCAGCACCGTATTCGTGCTGTTCGCCGCTAACTGGTAAGTAGATGGTGTTTTCAAAACTCGTGCAGCTTTTAGGAAACGTTTTACACTAGATGCAGTGCCTAGAAAGCAAGATAACGTCATATGTAAGGAGATCTGTGAAAAGAGGGTTTAGCCAACCAGAAAAAAACGGATAAAGCCTCGAACTGAACATTTTCCTGTGGATGCGCCACGCATTCTATTTCCTCCATTCAGAATCGAAAGACATTTGAATGTGATATGGTTATGGTGAGTTGCGAGCTCCACAGATGTGCAAGTCAGTGTTTTGCGCTCCCAGGCACTCTTTTTTTTAACAAAAAGGAGCTGTTTTATGCGGTTTAAATGCATTTCCATCGCAATGCCCCCGCAGTTTGTGATTGCGCCCGCTCCCATATAAGTCTGGTACCAGACTGTGCGATGAAGACAAAATCACTACAAGAGGAAATATAATAAATCATGAAAAAGAAGAGCTCCACTATGGTAATCATGCATATTCTCTCCACGTGAGCACAGATAGACCGTCTAGGATTCACTCATTTCCAGTTGAAGGCACAGCTCACCATCGAAGTGGTTGGTCCCCACAACTTAATTAAAGGCCTACCCCAGGATCACATTGGTGTGGCCCATGTGCACGAATGTGGTTGTCCTGGTG